CGCTGATATGCCTGCACACACCCACATTGTATGACAAAGTAATTGAAGCAGTTAGTTTATTGATCAAGGTTGTCCTAGTTTTTCCCAATTTTAGGGGAAGGAAAGGAAATACTGCCTGCCTTCCCAAAGGAAGTTAGAAAGACCACAAAATCAATTTTGGAAGGATCACCTTTTTCTGGCAGCTGTACCAATATGCTATGGAAAAGTAGGAATTGTAAAATACAATTTAAAAGAAAAATTTGGAAACTATAGTTATACAGACCCTCAAGCAGAAGCTAAAGTAACCTTAATTGTAGTGGGCTTAAGAAATTGTGTTAATATTTTTTATTTAGCCTTTTTTAACGTTAAGTAACTACTCTAGCAATACCAAATGTTACAGACAGTTGAACACAGCGTATTTATGTGGTTTTGCAGTGGGAAGGAAATACCCATCTCTTATTTGTAGGAAGCAGATTTCACACCAGAAAATCCCAGCGCATTCTACAAACTGCAATTATAAGCATAGCCAAACTGATCTGGAACTGTGTAACAAGTTGGACCAGGATTAGAGAAAAAACCCCAAACATTAGAACTACAAGGAAAAGATAATTATCTGGAATGGAATAGGATCAGGCAACATGAGGTAAAGCCCTAGGCTTTTTTAATAGAAATCAGTTATTAACTTAATATCACATTTGCTGTAAAAGACACCCCTTCCCACGGCGTACTTACTCCCTCTACAATTCTGGCACAATGGTTACAGACTCTGAGAGAAGACAACTACTCACCAACTGCATGGTTAACATTTGTTAAGCTTAGGCTTCTGCATGGCTAAAGCACCTATGACATACTTACCCTTAAGACAAGCTGTAACATAACTTAGAATAAAGTCAGCAGGGACTGCTGGAAGGTGCTTACAAGAGAGCTAGACTATCGGCATTTTCCCCCTGCAAAGTTTTCCTTTAAGTAACTGGCAACTCACAAAGGTCACACCCGACTTAAAAAAAAATATACTGTCATAATCTTAAACACAGGGAGTCAGAACCACCACTGATCGGATTTGCAAGCCCTTTGAACCTCACCATTCCCTACTAATACGAGATGCAATTACACACTTTGAAAAGCAGCAGCAGAGAAATATGCTCATTACAGAAGCTGACCCTGTTCAATCTTTCCTGTGGTAGCTACACAACATAACCCTTCAGCTTTTCCTAAAGAGGCATGGAGTCCTCACTGCCACAAAAAGCACGTGACAGCTTCTCTTACTATCCCTAAAGTCAGCCCCCGAGGGCTGATTGCAAGCACTATCAAATCATGGGTGTAGTGAGGAAAAATGCTACAGAGTCAAAGCAGGCAGGCAAACGGGTCAGAAGAAGTCATACCATCACAGAGCTGAGAAAGCAGTCATTTTAAGTAGACACTGACCTGAAAAGCAAAATGTTTAACCAAGTGTAATTTCAGTGTAATTTGAAAGTAGTTCCTTTCAGTCACTGCTGCCCCTGCTGAAGTACATGGCTCTTGAAGGGTGCAGAAGCAACAGAGTTAAACAGCTGCAACCATGATCCAGGAATTTACGGAGTGGGGCTGTGGGGAGATTACCTCTGGAGGTGGAGGACTTTGAGGTTGGGACCATTTTTTCCTCCTCCTCTTTTTCACGGATGTGTGTCCAGTGCACATCTGCCAGGATCTCCAGAGGATCAACCGGATTTACAATCTGCTGCAGTCTAAGGTTTCCAGCTAGCAGGAGGAAGGCACGGCATACCAGGTTGTAGGCAGGGTGTATGAGGGACAGGGAGGAAAAGGTGGGAGAACAGTGGAAAGGAAAGGTAACACATCATAGGAAAGGAAATAAGAAAAGAAGAAAAGAAAATATTACTGGCTAGAATCAGTTTGCAAGACAGACAGAAAAAGCTCAGCGTTGTGTGTGCACGCATACACCAATACAGCGCTCCTCATACTCCCCATCAAAGCTGAATAATGCCATTCCAAAGGCAGAGAGATGCTATTAAAAACATCTTTGTAGAGTAACTCTATTGCAAGCAGCTTCGCTGAAATGAAAGACATTCTCTGGGTGTCCAACAGTATGTGGTATGTAAATACACATGTAGCAGAAATTTCCAGCTCCTTCACCCTATTCACCATGACTATTGCCGAAGACACCTTGCTGTTAAAGGCAAGGGACAATCTGCATTGTAGTTTGATGCACCAAAACAAAAGGTCTTTCATTCCCTACTATTGGGTTAAGCACTCCTTTCTATGCTGGGTACATATTTCTTGGTGAATTAAATTACGTGATGGATCTCAAGAGTTTCACGTGTGTGTATGTGCGTATGCACGCATGGGTGCACACTTACGTTAGCACTTGAAACACTACTTTGTTTGCTCCTGCTCTTTTGTACTGACTGATAAGCAATGTGTTTAACTGCTGTAGAATACCCACCTTGGGAGCATCTACCCTGAGGTGAGTATTATATTCATACACCCTGCCTCTATTGCTATCTGCTATGGAACTAGAGCTCAGGTTTTATTTACCATAATAAAATAACTCTATGGGGGACAGATGTTCATCATCTGCAGGAGTGGTCTTCAAAAGCAAATGACTCAGCCTGAAAGAAAAATGCCCACTTACTTTATAAAGCAGGAAGTCAATTTTCACAACAGCTGGATTATCACTGAGCAGGGCAAAACACTGTTTCAGCAGTTTAGAATCTCAAAAGCAGTTAAGATTTTCATATGGTGCACTAGTGTTTGAAGGAAACAAGAAACATTAGCAGCATTTAGAGGTTGCACTCATAATTTTCTGCTGTCTTGTTTTAACAAAGTTCCTCTCTCCTGGCCATGTTTTCCCCAGAGACGACAGTGTTTGGGACTTCTGTTTCATGAATGACTTATGTGTGACATTTGGCATTAAAACTGCAGAAGAAACGAAGGAACCACAGGAACGACAGAACCACCAGCTGGTTATCAAAGGGGGAAAGGGTTCAGACGCACAAACTCAAATGCAGAGCAGGATTCACAATTTAGCCAAGTATTGAGCAGTTTTATGTCTCTGTTGCCTCATCAGAGAGTTTTCTTATCAATTAGCACAACCACATGATCTACCAGAGCTACTGGACATCCTGCAGGGACAGGAACCTGGGCTTTTCTCATTCCATACCAAAGCACTCACATGCAGGCCCCAAGATGAGTAGAGTTAGCATTTGCATCGCCACACAAAATTTTGTGTTAAAAGGTTTAGGTTTGCCAGCAATGGCCGAGAAGTATATAGTCACTCAGCAAGGCTTGGAAAGAGCAGGTCCCACGTGATCTGCATGTTTTAAAATGGATTTATCTGGGATTTAGACCAGTGTAACATACACACCTTCAGTTACTCTGTAAGTCTCTAGATGAAGGCCTGAGCCTGTCCTGATTAGGACACGGGTCCTTCTTACTTCTTCCAGTAAATAAATAGCAGCACAGCCAGCCATGAAGGACTGCTGCTTGGCTAACAGGCAAACCTAACATTTCCTTGAGGTCTAAATGCTTGAGAATTCAAATGACACCTAGTGTAGCCTTCCCTCCAGGCTGCCTGCTGAGCTTTGCAGGAAGCTGGACATTAATTGCACTTATATTTGGAAAGGTAGCTTTCCTTTCCCCTCCAGTTTCACTGTAGCACCTACCAGCACTTTATAAGAAACGGGCAGTCTCGATGTTGAACTTTTAATAGAATGAGAAGCCACCCGCAAATCAACTCCTTAGGAGCCAGGTCTAAAGCACACTAGCAACTGCAACAGGGGCAACTTCTTCAGTTATGCTCTTCAGCCATCTTACTAATACTTCTCATTCTTACTATCAGAAAAATCAAACTGGAAAAAATTATAACACTTCTTCATTTTTTTTTTTTTTAAAAAAAAAAAGTCCGAAGCTAAGCTACAGTTGTTACAACCATAAGCTGCCAAATATGCAGTTTCACAACTGCATATGCCCTCTTACCTGCAGGAAGGCACTTGGATTTTCGTCTCATGTATCCTGGCTCTAATGAACCACATTGAAGGAATAAAGGATTAACAAGATATTAGGACCAAGCGCTTCAAAAAAACCCAACCATCAGAAATAAACTGCAAGAGAATGCATCATGGAAAATAACACAATAACCAGTTAGATTGGAACATCAGATTAATTTTATGCCCATTAAATCACTGTTTGAAAAATCTTGAGGGATTGCCACAGCTTGACTAGCCTCCCCCATGGACTCTCCGCACAGACACACACTCAAAAAGGACAACAACAAAAAATGCAAGTTTGCTGACAAAGGCGATCTAAAGTCAGTATTTCTGATGTGTCCCATGTGTCCCACGTATTGCACGGGTGCAATTAGTCTGTGTATATGGAATAAATCTGAAACTCCTAAATAGGTGGGGGTCACTGTTCAGGCACACTACAGTAGCAAATTGTCCAAGGTTTCTAGATATCCTGAGGTACTGGGCAGCTTTCTCTTCTTCCTAAACCAGTGGCAACGTCAGACCTGATATATGGCACTTGGACCAGGAGATGAAGATAACAACAGCTACCAAATCAGTTTTTAGGGAGCTGGTAAAGCAATTAAATAAAACACAGAAACTTCTCATGTGGGACCTGCTCTTTAAAACATTCCCCCCTCCTTTGGGGAAATGGAAGTGGAGATGGTATATGGGTACCTTTAAATGTACCCGTGTCCTCTTCATTTGAGAGACGTTGAAGCCAGAGGCCTTGCTGCAGCTCTCTCTCCCAAGGGCAATACTCCCCCTCTACAGCAGAGGGAACCACACATCCATATATAACACCAGACACGCGTGTACACACACAAGCGATGGAGAGAGAGAAAGAGAGAAAGAAAGGACAGAATCAGAAAGACAGACTGTCTGGAAATCCGGCAACTCCCCCTACTCCCGCTGTATTCGAAGTGTCTGACAGGAGAAACTGCTTGAATGAAACAACGTCCGTCCAAGAATGCCATGGTTCAGCATTTTTTTCTAAACACACAACATGCATGTTACCATACTTAAAAAGCAGTCTGGACTTCCACAGACTTCAGGTATGGAGATACAGCTCCTACATTGAAAAAGTAGCCAAGCAGCCTGATGAGCTCATCAGCAAAAATGCCACTAAGACTCAAAAAAATGGACCTCTGCTTGCATTAGGCAGCCAAAGACCTTTACAAAGAAGCTCTTTGGAGTCTACTAGTCTTCACAAAAAGGAAATGTGAGTACAAAGACAAAGACAAGATCAGCAAGAAATTATGGTAGTGAAACACTGGAAACATGTCTATTCTTAGCACAAACTTTGCATTTTGCTGACTGAGACAAACACAGGGGAAGGAGTCTCTTT